CCATTAGAAACTGCTACAAATGGACCCATCTAAAATGCGGATTCTCAAGCCAGGCGCAGTGGCTCATGCTCGTAATCCCAGCACTTTGGGAGGCTGAGGCGGGAGGATCACTTGAGCCCAGGAAGTTTAAGATCAGGCCAGGAACATATCGATTCTCTGTCTCTACAAAAATCAAAATCTGGCTGGGTGTGGTGGCTCCTGCCTGTAGGCCCAGCAGTGCAGCAGGCTGAGGTAGGAGGCTCACTTGAGCCCAGGAGTTTGAGACCAGCCTGGGCAACATAGCAAAGATCCCAACTTACAAAAACAATTTAAAAATCTAGCCTTTGGCATTTGGTGGTGCACACCTGTAGGGGCCCAGCTGCTCGGGAGGCTGGGGTGGAGGCTTGATTACCCAGGAGTTTGAGGCAAGGAGTGCTAAGATGGCACCACTGCATTCCAGACTGGGCAACAGGAGCAAGACTTTGTCTCCCCAAAAAAATTCTTAAGTAAAGTAAAATTTTTCTGGGACCAGGCTCACACCAAGTCCCAGAACAGCCAGGAGCTGCCTCAGGAAGCCAGTGGTAGCTAACAGGCTTCCTAGAGGCAGGCCTGTCTTATCCTGGGGAAGGAGGGTGAGGCAGAGCAGGTGTTCCCCTGACTTTGTAAAAGAATGAAGGTACACATTGACCTGCAAACCTCCTGTCCACCTTGGCCTCGACTGTGTTTATGGTTTGTCGCGGGCCCAGCCCCTACTCGCCCTGGATGAGGCCTTCCTTTATCTCGGCTGCAGTAGGGCGGTGGACACACAGGGCAGGCCACTCACACATGACACTGAGCCCCACGGTGCGGTTGTCCTGGCTGTGAGGCATTCTCGGCCAGGCAGGCGTAGACACCGTCCCGGCGGGGTCACCTCCTCCAGCTCCAGGAGCAGGCTCTCGGCCACGGGGCCTCCCCGGAGCACCGTCCCGCCCCGTATCCAGGTCAGCAAAGCGGCGGCGGGTTATGCTGTCAGCCCTACAGAGCAGGCTCGACGGGAGCTTCCTCGATGGCTTCAGCACGAGGAGTTCATCTCACAATCACTGGGGTCTGAGGCCCGCGACACAGCCGAAGTTAGTGAGCAGGTGCTGGGCACTCCGCCTCGGTGCCCTCTCCCCGCCAGCCCGGCTCAGCTTCCAAAACTGCCCGGCCTCGCCCCTCAGCCTTGGCCCCACCCCGACTGTTTGAGCTACTTGCACCCACCCCCCAACTCCTGCCTGTTCTGGCCCTGCCCCCATCACTGCCTGGCCCTGCCTCCCGGCCCCATCCCCAGGCTGTCCACCCCCTTCCTCGGTTCTGCCCTACTCCCCGCCCCATTCCCCGCCCTGCTCCGCACCCAGGTTTCGCCACTCCCACGTCCAGGCCGGGCGTAGCCTCTCGAACTGCAGGGTGGTGTTGGGGAAGGAGGCCTGGCAGCCCAGCCGGTGGCCGTTGGCCTCCCCTCGTGGCACGGTAAGGGCAGCAGCGACACCTGCACCCAGGTGCCCCTGTCCTCCTGCAGCCGGCCCAGCACAGCAGGCTCCCAGCCCTCGGTGGCCCAGCCAGCTCAGCTCAGGCTAACTCTGGGCAGTTGTCCGGCACCATGCAGCTGACTTCCACTTCTGTGCCTGCCACCACTTCTGGGGCACCAACATGTTGGGGTGTCTATACGAGGCGGGGAAAGTGAGGGCTGAGGAAGCAGCACTGGGCTACGGCCCCAGTCCCACCCCACCCACCCTCCTCCTTGTCCACCTCCATTGCTGGCAATGGTACGCCTGAACGGTACCGCCCGCCTCCCTGCCTCCGGATTCTGGAGTTCCTCTCACCTTCTTCCTTCTTGGTCACCCCGGAGTTTCTCCACGGAGCCATCAGAGTACTATTCTAATGAAAATCACAGTGTCGTGGCCAGAGCACTTGACATCGTTTAATCTCAAGGTCCTCTCCTAATGGCGAGTAGAGGGCGAGTACTGTGATTTTGCCTATTCTTTGCAGATGAAGAAACTGAGGCTACAGCAGACACTCAGGTAACACTGGCCACAAACCCCGTGAGCCCTGGCGTCAGGCCTCACACCTCATCGCCTCCTGCTGCCTTCCCCTCTCCCATGCCTGCTTGGTTTACCGCCTGCCTGGCACGTGAGTGTGTGCAGGGTGTGATGTGTGTGTGTGGTGCATGTGTGTAGTGTGATGTGTGCGGTTTGTGTAGTGTGTGGTGTGTGTTTGTGATGCATGTGTGTAGTGTGTGGTGTGTGGCAGCATGTGCATTGTGTGGTTTGTGTGTATGGTATGTGTGCTATGTGTGTTGTGTGTGAGGGTTTGTGGTGTGAGTTTAGTGCTGGTATGTGGTGTGTGGTCTGTGTCATGTGTGTGTGTGTGTGATGTGGGGTAGTGGCCATGCATGTGTGCAGTGTGGGGTGTTGTGCACTTTGGGTCATGTATGTGGTTTGTAGGTACGGGCGTATGTGTGGTGTGTGTGTGTGTGGTGTGGTGTGTGTGGTGTGAGGTAGTGTGTGGTGTATGTGGTGTGGTTTGTATCATGTGATGTGTGTGTGCTGGGTGTGTAGCACGTGGTATGTGTGTGGTGTGGGTAGGTATGCATAGTAGGTGTGTAGAGGTAGGTGTGGGTTTGTGTAGCATGTGATTTGTGTGTAGTGTGTGGTGTGTGTTTGGTGTAGGGGTAGTGTCTGCAGTGTGTGTTGTGGTTTGTGTAGTGTATGTATGTGTGTAGTGTGTGGTGGGTATAGTGTGTGGTTTGTGTGTGTGGTATGTACATGGTGTCTGGGTTTCAGTAGTGTGTGTGGTGTGTGTTTGGTGTGTGGTTGTATTTGGTGTGTGGGTAGTGTGTAGGTAGAGTATGTGTGTGTGGTGTGTGGTTTGGGTAGTGTGTGGTGCGTGTGCAGTGTGTGGTTTGTGTAGTGCGTGTTGTGTATGTTTGCTGTGTGTGGAGGTGTGGTTTGTGTTGTGATGTGTGGGTAGTGCATATATGTACAGGGTACACATAGGTGTAGTGTGTGCATGGTTTGTGGTGTGTAGTGCGTGTGTGTGGGTAGCATGTTCAGTGTGTGGGTGTATGTATGTGGTGTGTGTAGGGTTTTGTGGGCAGTGTGTGCAGTGTGTGGTGTGTAGTTTATGTGGTGTGTGGTGTGTGTGGTGTGTGGTTAGTATGTGCATGTGGTGTGTGGTTTTGTAATGTGTGGTGTGGTGTGTGTTTGTGTGGTGTGGGTAGTGTGTGTGTAGCATGTATGGTATGTGGTGTGTGGTTTGCGTAGTGTGGTGTGTGTGTGTGTTGTGTGTGTTTGGTGTGTGTGTTTTGTGTGGGCAGGTGTAGGAGTATGAGGCGTGTGTGTGGTGTGTGTGGTTTGTAGTGTGTGATGTACGCAGTAGTGTGGTGTGTGTGTGGTGTGTGGGTAGAGTGTGCAGTGTGTGGTGTGTGGTTTTTGTAGTGTGTGATGTGTGTGTAGTGTGTGTGGGTAGAGTGTGCAGTGTGTGGTGTGTGGTTTTGTAGTGTGTGATGTAATGTGGGTAGTGTGTGTGCAGTGTGGGTAGAGTGTGCAGTGTGTGGTGTGGTTTTTGTAGTGTGATGTACGTGTAGTGTGTGTGTGGGTAGAGTGTGCAGTGTGTGGTGTGTGGTTTTGTAGTGTGTGATGTACGCAGTAGTGTGTGGTGTGTGGTGTGTGGGTAGAGTGTGCAATGTGTGGTGTGTGGTTTTTGTAGTGTGTGATGTACGTGTGGTGTGTGGGGTGTGTGGGCAGAGTGTGCAGTGTGTGGTGTGTGGTTTTGTAGTGTGATGTATGTAGTGGTGTGTGTGGTGTGTGCAGAGGCAGTGTGTGGTGGTGGTTTTTGTAGTGTGTGATGTAATGGTGTGGGTGGTGTGTGAGTGTGCAGTGTGTGTGGTGTGTGGTTTTGTAGTGTGTGATGTATGTGTAGTATGGTGTGGGTAGGTGTAGAGAGAGTGTGCAGTGTGTAGTGTGTGATTTCTGTAGAGTGGTGTGTGTGTACTGCACCTCCAGTCTCTTTCTGCACCAGGGATTCTTCTTCTTCTTCTTCTTCTTCTTCTTCTTCTTCTTCTTCTTCTTCTTCTTTTTTTTTTTTTTTTTTTGAGACCCAGGCTGGATTGCAATGGCTCGATCTCGGCTCACTGCAACCTCCACCTCCGGGATTCAAGCAATTCTCCTGCCTCAGCCTCCTGAGTAGCTGGGATTACAGGCGCCTGCCAACACGCCTGGCTAATTTTTTGTATTTTTAGTAGAGATGGGGTTTCACCATGTTGACCTGGCTGGTCTCGAACTCCTGACCTCAAGTGATCCAACCACCCCAGCTTCTCAAAGTGCTGGGAAGCCACGTAGTCGGGACCCCATCTTTCCAAATTCCTGGAAATACCTGGTTTGGTACGTATCCCCCATGTTTGGATCCGGCATGGGTTCCCCCTCAATCTGGGAGGTCCTGCAAGTGACACGTGGGTTCCCCTCATGCTTCCCACCCCCCAGTCACAGGAATTTGGACACACAGGACGGGGGCCACAGACAGAAAGGAGCTGCAACAGGACAGACTAGACAAAGCCAGCACCACCGGGCAGGCCCAAACTTCATCAGAGACTACCTTGACACCTGACAGGGACACACGGACATGCACGCCAACCCCAGGGCCCAAGGAGGGCCCAGAGGAGGGCACACTGAGGCCCCCGGAACCTACCTCCTGGGGCGCTCAGTGAGAATCCAGGGTAGAGACCTCTTTGGACTATTGGAGAAGGAAATGCAGTCACAGACGCAGGCAGGGAGAGGGAGGGGTTCCTTGGGCCCCACATCCCATCGCCCCCTACACAGCTTCAGCCTGGGCACCTCCTCCCCAGCCTCCAGGTCCAACCCAGCTCTGGAATGTCCTTCCTCTCCTCCTCTGAGAGGCCACCCCACTCCCCTGCCCCTTGGCCTCACAGACCCCTCCCAGGCCCTCGGTGATCCTGGTATCCAGGTTCCCAGGCCAGCCTGGCGCTGCAGGGCTCTGGTCCTTACCTCGTACTTCTCTGGTGCCCCAGAGATGCGGAAGTCGCTGCTGAACAGGACGGGAGGGTTGTCCCCTGCTGAGAAGCTGGGGCTCTCTGTCACGTTCTTTCTGTAGGGCAGGACTCGTCAGACCTCCCTCTGCCCTCCCTTTCTGCACCCCCATGTGTTTTAGGAGTTTGGCTCAGGGGACCTCAGAGTTCTACCACCCATCTCTAAGATGTGGCAATCAGCCCTTTCAGAACCAGCCTCTCCTGCCCACACAGCCCATCCTTCCCACCTCTGCAGCCCCTGCCGGGCTGGGGATGAGCCACCTGGCCACTGGGCTCTGCTGTTTTTCAGGACCCCCGTCTGGATTCTCCAGGTTCCCCCTCACAGGCTCTGGGTCTTTCTGCCCCTCTTGCCACCAGGATGTGGAGCAGAGAGATGAATTTATTTCTCAGGACAGCTGATGTGTGTTCGCCACAAGGAAGAAACACGGCTGCAGTTCAGTTGGGCCAGGTAGCTGTGGTTTGGGGCTGGAGAAGCTTTCTGTTTGTTTGTTTGTTTGCTTGTTTGTTTGTTTTTAGAGACAGGGTCTCTCTTTGTCACCTAGACTGGAGTATAGTGGTGAAATCATAGCTCACTACAGCCTCAACCTCCCAGGCTCAAGTGATCTTCCCTCCTCAGCCTCCGGAGTAGCTGGGACCACAGGCACGTGCCACTATGCCTAGCTAATGTTTTCATTTTTTTTGTAGATGGGGTCTCCCTGTGTTGCCCAGGCAGGCCTCTAATTCCTGAGCTCAAGCAATCCTTCCACCTCGGCCTCCCAAGTAGCTGGGACTACAGGTGTGTGCCCCCATTCCTGGCTAATAAAAAAAAAATTTTTTTAGAGATGTGGTCTTGCTGTGTTGCCCAGGCCGGTGTCAGATTCCTGGCCTCAAGCAATCCTCCCGCCTTGGCCTCCTAAAGTGCAGGATAACAGGTGTGAGCCAACGCACCCAGCCAAGGCATATATTTTTTGCCACAGATGTGTGTAATCTTTGGGGCTTCTGGCGTCAAGTGGACCTGCTGCTGTGGCTGTAGGGGGTTCCTGGGCTTTCCCCACCAAACTGGAGTGTGTAGCGGAGAGTTACTGGAGATAGGGAGGCCGTCAAAATAGAATGTGGGGCAACAGGTCTCAAATGATGTGTGTAAAGCGCTCAGCCCAGGCCCTGGTGTGCCCCTGACCAGCAGGGGCTGGAATTAACAGGAACCCTCTCTCCTCTGTCCCGCTGAACATCCCAGAGCAGAATCTGCCTTCTCTACACTTAGGGTGCCACCTTCCCCCGCCCACTCCGGGCCTCCATCTCCCACCAGGTCCCCTTTTTGGATCATCCCCAGATCAGCCCCGGCTGGCACTCACTTCCTGCGTGTCTGGGTAATGTAGCAGACGATGGCAATCAGGATGGCAAAGGCGACCACAGCGCCCACAGGCCCGATCTTGGCCCACATCAGTCGATCTGAGGACAGAGAAGACCCGGGCGCCCTTAGGGCTACGGGTGGTGGTGACAACACCTGAGAACTTTGGAGACGTGCTGGGGTGACAGTCAATGTATTCACACAGCGGGGGCATCCTTGCACTGACTGACTGGCACGGAGACTCTCGGTGCCAGGGCAATCCCTTTTGTGCTGGAGAGGCCCTGGGGAGGGGCTCATACCTCAAAGGTCAGAGCAAACTAGGGGCAAACTCAGGGCGGCTTCTCCTCTCCACCCGGAAAGGGAGAATTTGACCTTTTTCTCAATCTGCATAGCCCATGCTCTGTGGCTGTTGGTCAGCCTTGGGAGCTTGGATCCAAGAGGAGCCCGCTGCCTCCTGTGGCTCCCACCCCAAGTCCATGCCACTCACGGGCTCCCTGGAAGGGCAGCTCCAGGCTCTTGGCGCCATAGAGGTTCCTCGCGGTGCAGATGACGCGGGGCGGGGCCTGGGCCTGCCCCCGCAGCGTGAGGATGCTGGTGAGCACCAGGCCGCTGCGCTCAGAGTACACGAACTCCCGCTCGCTCTCGTTCACGGTCACATTGCGCGACGGCAGCTCAAAGGCCACGGATGGCTCCGGGTTGGACTTCACCACGCACAGGCACTGCACCGTGTCTCGGGCTGCCGCGCAGTGGGACTCCAGGAGGAGCACAGGAGCGACTGCAGAGGCAAAATCAGGACTGAAGGTGGCCAGGAACCAACGAGGCCCGGCCCGGGAGACTCCTTGGCTCAAGGCAAGGCCAGCGTGGCCAAGGATGGGGGCCGTAGCTTCATGTAGGGCCCTCCAGTTTCCCCCTCCTTTTTTCTCTGTCCTGACTGAGAGTGCCTTGACCTCACTACGACCCCGCCGGCTGCCTGTTTTCACTGCGAGCTTCACTAACCCACGCCAGGGGCCTTGAACATTCCCAGGCACTGATAAAGGTGTTTAGATTGTTGCTCAAAACACTGAAAGAGGCCGGGCACGGTGGGTCACAGCTGTAATCCTAGCACTTTGTGAGGCCGAAAAGTGGATGGATCACCTGAGGTCAGGAGTTCAAGATCCTGGCCAAGAGAGTGAAACCCTGTCTCTACTAAAAACACAAAATTAGCCAAGTGTGGTGGTGCACACCTGTAGTCCCAGCTACTCGGGAGGCTGAGGCAGGAGAATCATTTGAGCCTGGGAGGCAGAGGTTGTAGTGAGCTGAGATCTCGCCACTGCACTGGTGACAGAATGAGATGCTGTCTCAAAAAAACCCCAAACAACAACAGCAAAAATGAAAGAATGAAAGAAACCAGCCCCAGCCCTGGGCCAAATTCCTTAAACCCTCATGTAAACCCGTATCCTGACCCTCACAGACATGTCTGGGTAGAACCTCCCTTTCTCTCACTGTAGCACCGTGCCAGTTCCCCTCCCAAATGCTTTGAACTGGTGATCACCTGGTGTTTAGTGCCTCTCTCTTTGGAATCCCAAGTGGCCTCATTTCGGGATGGTTTGGGGTGCTCTCTTGGGGCGATTCTTCTGGTGCCGCTTTTGGGGCGACTCTAGCCTCAGGTTCGGCCTGGACGGAGCACTAGGTCACAGGGGTGGGCTGTTTCTCCTGGGCCCTGGCTCTTTCACTCTCTCTAACCTCATTCACCTTGAAATACATAAATCAGATCACAGCACTCTGCCCAAAACCCTCCTTCTGTTGCTCCGCGATTCACCTAAAATACAAATGCTTTATTTTTTATTGTTTTGAGACAGGGTCTGGCCCTGTCACCCAGGCTGAAGTGCAGTGGCAGTACTATAGCTCATTTGCACTCCTGACCTCTAGCGATCTTCCCGCCTCAGCCTCCCAAAGTGCTGGGATTACAGGCATGAGCCACTGCACCCAGCCACATTTGACCATTTTTGACATGCAGAAAAAATTTCACATAGTTCAATGTAGTATATACAGCAAAAAGTACAAATATTCACCCTAAATGAAATCAGTACAGATTACAAACAGCCTTGTGTTCTTTAGGCCAGATTTTGCTGTCAAATCAGGGTGTTGCCAAAATTGCAAAAAGCCTTTTGATTTTAAAGCTTCATGTTCAGAACTGCAGAGGACGGTAAATCCATCTTACTCGTGACAGTTACTGGAGGGTCTTTGTTTGTTTTTGTAGATACAGGGTCTTGCTATGTTCCCCATGCTGGTCTTGAACTCCTGAGCTCAAGCAATCTTCCTGCCTTGGCCTCCCAAAGTGCTGGGATTATAGGTGCAAGCCACTGTGCCCAGCCCAAAATACAAAGTCTTTCATCTACAAGGCCCCTCAGGCCCTGCCTGACCACATGCTCTCTCCTTCTCTTCCCCTGGCTTAGTCCTTTCCAGCCACACCGGTTCCTTGCTGTGTCTCAAAATCGTGGAGCTTTCTGCCACTCCAGGATCTGTGTGTTTCTCCCTCAGCCTGGCACACTTCCACCAATTGCCTGTGGAACGCCCTCCCTCGCTCCACGTCGGCCTCTACCCACGCGGCATCTCCTTCTCTGACCACGCAGGGAAGCTGCACCTCGCTCCATGTGTCATTCACTCCCTGCCTAACTCATCTTTCCTCCCCAGCACTCACCCTCCCTGCATCACACACTGATATAAGGGGCCCCCTGTTTTCATCAAGACAGGGGCTTGCTCCATCTCCACTCTGGGCCTCACACGTAGAAGGGAGGAACTATGGAACTCTCCCAGCCCCCGGCCTCCCCAGACCCTTGGGGCTCACACAGGTTCAGACTATCCCCTCCTTTCTGGCTTCCAGCCTCTGCTCCTTCCTTTCAGTCCCTGCTGCAGATGCCCCCCACTTCCTCCCCTAAAGCCCCCTTGAACCCTGGCCCTCCCTCACCCATGGGATTCCCTTCTGCCACTAGCATCAAACACCACCCTCCACCCAAAGTCACTTGGTTGAGCTTTGCTTTGCTGCCACTGGATTACAAAAATAGTACTGGTAAGCTTTTTTTTTCATTTTCCAAAATAGGAAATTATTATTATTATTATTATTATTACTACTATGATTTTTTGAGACGGAGTCTCTCTCTGTCACCCAGGCTGGAGCACAGCAGCGCGATCTCGGCTCATGGCAACCTCTGTCTTCCAGGTTCAAGTGATTGTCCTGCCTCAGCCTCTTCAGTAGCTGGGACTACACGGGCGTGGTGATGCCCAGCTAATTTTTGTACCAAAATACGAAACTGTATCCCAGCACTGAATGCTGTTTTTTAAACCATGTTCTCTTTCTCGGCCGGAGAGTCCAGCACCCTCCTTGGCTTGCTCTAGACTGAGCACGGATTCTCAGTGAGTTCTCACCAAAACCCACTTACACACAAGCAGGAGACTCTTGGCTCACCTACCCCACCTATTTTCAATCTCCAGCAAAAAGAATGTGCCGGTAACGGTGGTGAGAGTCACATGGGCACACGGATTCACGGCAGGGATGGGAACCTCTGTGCATACGTCTCTAAGTCTACTAAATAAAAAGTCCTCTTCGGGCAGACATGCAATATGCTTGCTATAGCGTTAACCAGCTAACACACCATAGAGTACGTTAATAACAGCGAACCTGAACGGACAGACCTAAAACTTCTTCAAAGTACTTCCACTCAAGACAGCATCACTGGTGCTCTGGTGACAAAGTGTCCGACCTGGATGTTGGCGGAACGCCGATACCCTGCTGGTGCACGTGCTTAGTATCTTTACAGGCAACCTGTGAAGCTGCGGAAACTGTTATGGGACTCTAGACAAACCTCAAAGACAAAGGTACAAAGAATGAGGAGTTTGCAAAGGGATGGATTTGGCTTGAATCCCAGCTCTGCCATCTACTGGCTGGATGAGGCCCCTCAGCCTCCTGGACCTACGGGATGGAGTTCTCATCCATGCAAACCAGGGGGTTACAGTCAGTAACTCACAAGGGGCTACGGGACTCCGAAAATAGGCGCGCAAGTGTGTTGTAAACACTTAACATCCCATCCAGGCGTGGTGGCTCACTCCTGTCACTCTAGCACTTTGGGAGGCCAAGGCAGGAGGATTACCTGAGCCCAGGAGTTTGAGACCAGCCTGGGCAACAGAGCAAGATCCCATCTCTACAAAAAATTAAAACATTAACTGGGCATAGTGATGCGTGCCTGTCGTCCCAGCTACTCAGGAGGCTGAAGTGTGAGAAACAGTTGAGCCCAGGAGGTTGAGGCTGCAGTAAGCAATGATCAAGCCATTGCATTCCAGCCTGGGCAACAGGGCAAGACCCTGTCTCTAAAAAATAATAGTAATAATAAACACGTTTAAAAAATAAAATAAAAACACTTAACATCCCACCCAAGTACTCATGGGTAGCTAGACAGAACCATTCCAGCCGAGGGGTCACATGAGCAAAACCTCAGCAGCAGAACACACACAAATATTTAACCTGGAGTCCAAAGGAAAAATCAGTGAGAAAGATGATGGCATCCAATATCCACAGAGTACATAGTACTATGAACAGTCAGTATTGTTCTCTTAGTTCTTCTTTTTTTCGGGGGCAGTGGAGGGGTGGGACAGAGCCTTGCTCTGTCATCCAGGCTGGAGTACACTGGCTCCATCTCAGCTCACTGCAACCTCCACAACCCCCAGGCTCAAGCGATTCTCCTGCCTCAGCCTCCTGAGTAGCTGGGACTACAGGTTTGCGCCACCACGCCTGGCTAATTTTTGTATTTTTAGTAGAGATGGGGTTTTGTCAAGTTGGCCAGGCTGGTCTCGAACTCCTGGCCTCAAGTGATCCAACTGTCTCAGCCTCCCAAAGTGCTGGGATTACAGGCGTGGGCCACCGTGCCCAGCCTAATTCACTTAGTTCTCACAGCCATCTTTGTCGTAAGATACTGTTATGAACCCTTGCTAAGGGTTGCAAAACTGAAGTCACTTGCCTGAGCTGATGCAGGAGGATGGGGACAGAGCTGGGATTCTGGCCCAGGTGTGTTCAGCCCTATTGGGAGTGGATGCCAGTCAAACTTCTGTTTCCTTGTATTAAACTGGGGTGAAGAATGGTATCCTCCCCCAAGTCACATGGTTGTAAGAACAAAATAGGTCAATACGTGCAACGTACTCAAGCTAGTTCCCTAGACATCTCAGGCACTCAGCAAGTTTGCACGCTTCCTACATGCCCCGTGCCATTCAGGGCTCTGGGGTGGGCAGGTAGGACAGAAGACCCTGCTCAAGGGTCACCACCATTGTCAGTGAACATTGGAGCCCTGGTGCCAGGGAACATTGACTGTGTGCAGAGGGAGGGAGCCTGAGGGTCACACTCTCCAAGGGCAAGCACTTTGACACAGCCCTGGGTAGAGTGGGGAGCTGGCAGGTGGGGCAGGGGACAGGGCCACTGCTCCCCTCAATTCCAGCAGGGTAAGGCCTGTACACTCCATATCTGCCTGAGTGTTCGTTTTCAAGAGAAGCTAGATTGAGTCCTGGAGTGCTAAGAGCTGTGAGGGAGGTGAGGCAGCCAGAGGTTTAACAGCTGGGGCAGACAGGAGTCTGGAAGTATCGGGCTTGGACCAATTTTATAGCTGCCTGGCCTCAGGGAATTCTGCCCTTGAGTTTTCTCCTTGGTGTAGGGGAGAATGATAACACACCCCTGTTTCACAGGGTGACCCTAGAATTGAAACTGAGCCAGATAGGCGGGGCGTGGTGGCTCACACCTATAATCCCAGCACTTTGGGAGGCCGAGGCAGGTGGATCACTTGAGACTAGGAGTTGGAGAACAGCCCGGGCAACATGGAGAAACCCCATCTCTACTAAAAATACAAAAATTAGCTGGGCGTGGTGGTGCACGCCTGTAATCCCAGCTAGTTGGGAGGCTGAGGCAGGAGAATCGCCTGAGCCTGGGAGGCAGAGGTTGCAGTGAGCCGAGATCGTGCCCCTGCACTCCAGCTTGGGCGACACAGCGAGACTCAGTCTCAAAAAAAAAAAAAAAAAGAAAAAAGAACTGAGCCAGAAAACAGCTGTAGGGGATTCAAGGTCTGGCCCAGGGCAGGCCCCTAACGCACGCTTGCTGCCCGCTGCTCTTACTATAAAGGAGAGATGTGCGCCCCACCGGAAAATGTATGTGAGGTGGTGCTGCATGCTTGCTCAAGCGCTCCCATCAGCTCCTCTCTCTGACTCTTAAACTTAAAATCACTGGTGTGGGGTGTAACAGGGGACAGGGGACAACCAGAGGGGGAAGCTGGCCCAGGATGGCACGCACAGATGGAGGGAGCAGGGGACCACGCAGCCCCGCACCAGGATCACATCAACCCCACTAGGGAACAGAGCCAGGAGGGAGAGTGCCCAAAGATTATAGGTCAGCAGGGAAGGGACGGCTTTGCCAAGAGAAGTGGCCGCCTGGGACTAACCTGTATCTGCCATGTACTGATTGTCGCCATGTACACAGCACAGAGCATGTACCGTGTAGCAGACACTGCATTGAATTCTTTGCATGTTGAATGTCATTAAACCTTCTGACAAATTTGTGTGGTGGGCGCCATTATGGGCATCGTGAAGACCAGAGAGGTGAAGTTTAGAGAGGAGTGCTAAAAGCTAACAGGAACTTGGGGGAAAGCAGGGGAAATGGAAACAGGAAGGCGACATTCCAGAGGGAGTGGCTTAAGGAAGGGGAGTCAAAACTGTGACTCGGCTGCTACAACCTGGAGTGATGGCTGTGGCGGTAGGGGTGGTGGGAGATGGTGGCACAGTCCATAGTGAGGAGATGAGAGGCGCTGGCCAGCTGTGCAATGGTGAGTTTCATTTCCAAGACATGGAAGCTTTTTACGTGCATCTATGTCATCTCTCCAGCTATTCTCTACCTGTTCATAAGTGTGGTGTCTTCTCAGCCCTATCCTTCACCTTTCACAGAGCCGCACAGCCTTTTGTGTATAACAACTACCCCATCAATGTGTTCTGCTGTCATACATAGGATGAGGTCAACCTTGGGCAGGGAAGAAGAATGGAACCAGACTGCCTGGATTCAAACCTCAAAGTCTGCCATTTCCTGGCTGTGGGGACTTAGGCAAGTGGCATAACCTCTCTGGGTCTCAGCTTCCTTCTCCATAAACAGGGGAACAGTAATAGAACCTCCCTCATGAAGATGTCATGAGGATGAAATGAGTGGGCTGCTGTACAGCACTTCCAACAGTGCCTGGTACATAGCGACACTCTACACAGGTTAGAGATCATGGTCATTGCTTTGGTTAATGCAGAGGGGCAGTAGCCATAGGATCCAGAAATTTCATTGGTCAAAAGTCCACCCCAGGCTGGACGCGGTGGCTCACGCTTGTAATCCTAGGACTTTGGGAGACTGAGGCGGGCAGATCATCTGAGGTCAGGGATTTGAGACAAGCCAGGCCAACATGGCAAAATCCTGTCTCTACTAAAAATACAAAAGTTAGCCAGGTGTGGTGGCTGGTGCCTGTAATTCCAGCTTCTCGGGAGGCTGGGGCAGGAAAATTGCTTGAACCCAGGAGGCAGGGATTGCAGTGAGCGGAGATCGCACCACTGCACTCCAGCCTGGGTGACAGAGCAAGACGCTGTCTCAAAAAAAAAAAAAAAAAAAAAAGGTCCACCCCTGGATGTGGGAACACAGTATTCTCAGATGGGATTTTAGATTCCTGCTGTGAATTCAGCTTCCCTGCCCTCCCTTCCTCGCCTCTCCGGAGGACAGGCAAAGCCAACACTGATTGGGATCCGTGGGCACAGTAACCCTGGTGTCCCCCACAGAACCATCCATCCCCGGCATAGGGGAGCGGAAGTTGCTCACACTGCACAGACAGGTTGAAGGGGAGCGGAAGTTACTCACTCCACAGACAGGTTGAAGGGGAGCGGAAGTTATTCACACTCCGCAGACAGGTTGAAGGGGAGCAGAAGGTACTCACACTCCACAGACAGGTTGAAGGCGGTGGCCCTCTGGCCATACTGGTTCTCAGCCACGCACCAGTACTCTCCATCATCCTCAGGCGACACGGCCGGCAGCTCCAGCTGCAGCTCGCTCTCGTAGATGACTGTGGCCAGGATCTGCTTCTCCTTGAAGATGGTGAGAATAGGGTCCGGGTTGCTCTGTGTAGAGCACAAGATAGAGACCGTCTCCCCCTCTACGGCCACCACTGTCCCATTCACCGTCGGCTTCCAGGGTGCATCTGTGGGGTGGGACGGGACTGATGGTCAGAACTCAGTAGGTGTTTCTGCCAGCCACCCCCAGATAGGACCCCAGATCCCACCCCAAACCTAGCACACCAGTTCAGGAAGGCTCAGGTGACACCAGTCCCGGCTATCTTGTTTCCGAGAACAGCAGCTCTGTAGCCAGAGTGCTTGTCTTCAGATCCCGACTCTACCCCTGCCCAGTTGTGTGTGGGCCCACGTCTTAACCTCTCTGGGCTTCACTTTTCTCATCTGGAAAATGGGCTTTATAATAGTTCCACCTTCATGGGGGCGATCATCCAACATTCACTGAGAACCTGCTGAGTGACAGGCATTGCTCTAGCTTGAACAAGGCCCATGTGGAAAGAGCAGATGTAATTAAATAAAATATATACTTTGTAAGATGGGAAGAAGTGTGTAGAGAAAAATAAAGGGGCTGAGGATATGGAAAATCAGGGTAGTTACAGTTTGGGATAGGATGATGGGGGAAGGCTTCAGCGAGCCTAGGAGGTGGGCAAAGCCAGCCATGGGAATACTGGGGGGAAAAGGGCATGTCAAAAGCATGCAGGAGGCCAGGCATGGAGGTTCATACCTGTAATTCCAGCACTTTGGGAAGCTGAGGCGGGCGGGTCCCCTGAGGTCAGGAGATCGAGACCAGCCTGACCAACATGGTGAAATCCTGTCTCTACTAAAAATACAAAAATTAGGCAGAGCTCGCTGGCTCATGCCTGTAATCCCAGCACTTTGGGAGGCCAAGGCAGGCAGATCACGAGGTCAGGAGTTTGAGATTATCCTGGCCAACATGGTGAAATCCTATCTCTATTAAAAATACAAGAATTAGCCAGGCGTGGTGGTATGCGCCTGTAATCCTAGCTACTCGGGAAGCTGAGGCAGGAGAATTGCTTGAACCAGGAAGTGAGAGGTTGCAGTGAGCCAAGATTGCACCACTGCACTTCAGCCTGGTGACAGAGCGAGACTCTGTCTCAAAAAAAAAAAAAAAAAAAAAAAAAAAAAAAAAAAAAAAAAAGCCCACAGGAGCTATGGAGCAAATGTTGGCTGGGGCTGTCATTGTTAATATCCCCAGTGCTGGGCACTTTGCCTCAATACACATTTGTGAATGAATGAATGAAAGAATGAATGGTCTCTCCTTGGTTCTCAGCTAAGAATCCTCTTCTGACCAGCTCCCTTCTTGCAGGCCCAATAATATAAATTTGCATACAAGGGGCTGGATGAGGCCTGAAGTCCCCTCAACCCTCTCATTAGAACTACAATGGAATTCATCTAAAAATGCGGATTCCTGGCCAGGCGCAGTGGCTCATGCTCGTAATCCCAGCACTTTCGGAGGCTGAGGCGGGAGGATCACTTGAGCCCAGAAGTTTAAGACCAGGCCAGGGAACATATCGATTCTCTGTCTCTACAAAAAAATCGAAAAATTGGCTGGGTGTGGTGGCTCCTGCCTGTAGGCCCAGCAGTGCAGCAGGCTGAGGTAGGAGGCTCACTTGAGCCCAGGAGTTTGAGACCAGCCTGGGCAACATAGCAAGATCCCAACTTTACAAAACAATTTAAAAATTAGCCTGGCATTTGGTGGTGCACACCTGTAGGCCCAGCTGCTCGGGAGGCTGGGGTGGGAGGCTTGATTGAGCCCAGGAGTTTGAGGGCAAGGAGTGCTATGATGGCACCACTGCATTCCAGACTGGGCAACAGAGCAAGACTTTGTCTCCAAAAAAATTTCATAAAGTAAAATTTTCTGGGACCAGGCCCACACCAAGTCCCAGAACAGCCAGGAGCTGCCCTCAGGAAGCTGCAGCTAACAGGCTTCCCTAGGAGGCAGGCCTGGGTCTTATCCTGGGAAGGAGGGTGAGGCAGAGCAGGTGTTCCCCTGATTCTTGTGCAAAGAATGAAGGTACACATTGACCTGCAACCCTCCTGTCCACCTTGGCCTCGACTGTGTTTATGGCCGGTCCCCTGCGGGGCCCAGCCCCTACTCGCCCTGGATGAGGCCTCTTCCCTTTATCTCTCGGCTGCAGGTGGGCGTGTGGACACACAGGGCAGGCCACTCACACATGACACTGAGCCCCACGGTGCGGTTGTCCTGGCCGTAGGCATTCTCGGCCAGGCAGGCGTAGACACCGTCCTCGGCGGGGGTCACCTCCTCCAGCTCCAGGAGCAGGCTCTCGGCCACGGCCTCCCGGAGCACCGTCCCGTCCCGCATCCAGGTCAGCAGCGGCGGCGGGTTGCTGTCAGCCCCACAGAGCAGGCTCACGTGGGAGCCCTCGATGGCTTCCACCGAGGAGTTCATCTCCACAATCACTGGGGGGTCTGAGGCCCGCGACACAGCGAAGTTAGTGAGCAGGTGCTGGGCACCCGGCCCGGTGCCCTCTCCCCGCCAGCCCGGCTCAGCTTCCAAAACTGCCCGGCCCCGCCCTCAGCCTTGGCCCCACCCCGGGACTGCCTGGTTTCGCCCCCACCCCACCCCCCAATCCCTGCCTGGCCCTGGCCCCGCCCCCATCACTGCCTGGCCCCGCCTCCGGCCCCATCCCCAGGTCCACCCCCTTCCCCGGCCCCGCCCCACCCCGCCCCACCCCGCCCTGCCCGCACCCAGGCTCACACTTGACGTCCAGGCTGGCGTAGCCTTCGAACTGCAGGGTGGTGTTGGGGAAGGAGGCCTGGCAGCCCAGCCGGTGGCCGTTGGCCTCCCTCGTGGGCACGAAGTGCAGCAGCGACACCTGCACCCAGGTGCCCTCGTCCTCCCGCAGCCGGCCCAGCACAGCAGGCTCCCCCAGCCCCTCGTGGCCCAGCCAGCTCAGCTCAGGGCGCAACTCTGGGCAGTTGTCCGGTACCATGCAGCTGACCTCCACTTCTGTGCCTGCCACCACTTCTGGGGGCACCACGATGTTGGGGGTGTCTATACGAGGCGGGGAAAGTGAGGGCTGAGGAAGCAGCACTGGGCTACGGCCCCAGTCCCACCCCACCCACCCTCCTCCTTGTCCACCTCCATTGCTGGCAATGGTACGCCTCAACGGTACCGCCTCCGCTCCCTGCCTCCGGATTCTGAGTTCCCTTCACCCTTCCTCTTCTTGGTCACCCCGGAGCCCTCCACGGAGCCATCAGAGCACCATCGTAATGAAAATCACAGTGTCGTGGCCAGAGCACTTGACATCGTTTAACTTGCCAGTCCCTCCCACGAAGCGAGAGGGCGAGTACTGTGATTTTGCTCATTTTGCAGATGAAGAAACTGAGGCTACAGCAGACACCAGGTAACACTGGCTACAAACCCCGTAGCCCTGGCGTCAGTGTGGGCTCCCCACACCTCATCGCTTCCCAAGCGGCTCTCCTCTCCCATGCCTGCTTGGTTTACCGTCTGCCTGGCACGTGAGTGTGTGTGTGCAGGGGTGTGTGTGTGATGTGGGTGTGTGGTGCATGTGTGTAGTGTGATGTGTGCGGTTTGTGTAGTGTGTGGTGTGTTTGTGATGCATGTGTGTAGTGTGTGGTGTGTGGGTAGCATGTGCATTGTGTGGTTTGTGTGTATGGTATGTGTGCAGTGTGTGTTGTGTGTGTGATGTGTGGTTTGTGTGGTGTGTGGTTTTTGTAGTGTGTGATGTACGTGTAGTGTGTGGTGGGTATAGTGTGTGGTTTGTGTGTGTGGTATGTACATGGTGTCTGGTTTGTGTAGTGTGTGTGGTGTGTGTTTGGTGTGTGGCGTGTATTTGGTGTGTGGGTAGTGTGTAGGTAGAGTGTGCGGTGTGTGGTGTGTGGTTTGGGTAGTGTGTGGTGCGTGTGCAGTGTGTGGTTTGTGTAGTGCGTGTTGTGCATGTTTGTTGTGTGTGGAGTGTGTGGTTTGTGTTGTGATGTGTGGGTAGTGCATATATGTGTACAGTGTGTACACATAGGGTGTAGTGTGTGCATGGTTTGTGTGGTGTGTAGTGCGTGGTGTGTGGGTAGCATGTTCAGTGTGTGGTGTATGTATGTGGTGTGTGTAGTGTGTGTGGCGTGTGGGCAGTGTGTGCAGTGTGTGGTGTGTAGTTTATGTGGTGTGTGGTGTGTGTGTGGTGTGTGGTTAGTATGTGCAATGTGTGGTGTGTGGTTTTTGTAATGTGTGGTGTGTGTGGTGTGTGTTTGGTGTGGTGTGTGTGTGGGTAGTGTGTGTGTAGCATGTGCAGTATGTGGTGTGTGGTTTGCGTAGTGTGGTGTGTGTGTGTTGTGTGTGTTTGGTGTGTGTGTTTTGTGTGTGGGCAGTGTGTAGGGAGCATGAGCGGTGTGTGGTGTGTGGTTTTTGTAGTGTGTGATGTACGTGTAGTGTGTGGTGTGTGTGTGGTGTGTGGGTGGAGTGTGCAGTGTGTGGTGTGTGGTTTTTGTAGTGTGTGATGTATGTGTAGTGTATGGTGTGGGTAGTGTGTAGGTAGAGTGTGCAGTGTGTAGTGTGTGATTTCTGTAGAGTGGTGTGTGTGTGTACTGCACCTCTGCAGTCTCTTTCTGCACCAGGGAGACCGCGGCTCTCTCACAGGGACTCAGAACTGAGGGCTCCAAGCAGCAGCGCCGCTCAGAAATGAGGCAAGGGGATCCCCTGAAATCAGGCAGTGTGCCCTATTCTGATTGCCGTGTCTGGCCATAGCTGTATTCTATTTGGCTTAAAGGATTAAAAAAAAAAAATCTGAATCAGCAGCCAAAATTCAAGAATTAGGAGATTACACCGAAGAATCCAAAATTCTGGTTTATCTTGAAAACTCAGAACGCCTGACAGCCATGGCCCTGCTTTCTGTTGGCCAGAGCTGGAGGCCACGTGCCAGGTGTTGCCCTGGGCACCTGACAGCATTTCACTCATTGCCTTAAGTGCTATGCTTATCCCCATTTTCCAGAAGAGAAAACCAAGGCCCAAGGAAGTTAAGTCACTTGCCCAAGGTCACTACGCTGAAGTGGGGACCTAGCAGCCTTGCCCCTACCCACTGGCCCCACTGCCTTTCTCCAGGTGTTTCCAAAAGAGTAGGAGCACCTGTTTCCCTCTGAGGCTAGCAAGACTATTCTGGGGCCCTGCTTTGTTCATGTCTGTCATCTGCATGGTCTGCGTGGGCCTTGAGGTTTGCACCCCCAGCCAAATCAGCACCTCCCAGATCTGCCATCCAGGCCTGCTGGGGAAGGTGTGGGGAGGCCTTCCGGCCACACTCCTTCCTGCCCCGCTGCCGCAGCCCCCGGTGCCTGCAAAACCGCTGGGGACTCACTGATGATGTCCAGGACGCTGTGCTCTGAGAAGGTGTACTGGTTGTAGCCGCCCAGGTCCCCACGGAAATAGTACTTCCCGCCCAGCTCGGGGCTGACGTTGCTGAGCAGGAGGGTGCAGTTGCGCAGGCCCAGGTCCCCCAGGAGGCGGCTGCGGCCCTGGAAGCTCTCGTGGACGACTTGGGTGCGCGACTTGAAGACCACCGGAGGGTAGTTCTTGGGGTAGGGGCTATTGAAGTACCAGACGCCATGCACCACGGCGGGCCGCAGCTCATCCGGGAAGTCAAAGCGGCAGGGGATGGAGACGCACGTGCCTTCAAAGGCCGAGATGGACGAGGGCATCCAGGCACCCCAGTGACCCCCTCGGGAGGCTGCGGGCAAGCAGGAGAGCTGAAGTTCAGGGACACATCCTACCTGATCACCCCCTCCAGCTCCCATCCCCAACCACATGCCAGGGGGTGCAGGGACCCACCTCCAACCTGCTCAGGGGCCAAGGCCCTTGGGTCCCCAGCACCTGTCGGCCATTACCTGAAATCATAATCCAGAACAGAGGCAGTGCCGTGAGGAATATCATTCTGTACAGCAAGTGAGTGATCGCTGGAAAGGGAGAGGAGAGGGTTAAAGGCTGGGGGAAGTGAAAGGGGGTGTTCCATGTGGGCTTCAGGAAGGGGCTTATTCGCATGTTAGCTGCTGCTGCTATTATTATTTATTTGTGCATTTATTTACTTGTTTTTCTGAGACAGGGTCTTGTTTTGTTGCCCAGGCTGGAATGCAGTGGCACAATCACAGCTCACTATACCCTCGAAATCCTGAGCTCTCGTGTCATCCTCCTGTCTCAGCTTCTGGTATGCTCCACCACACCCAGTTAATTTTTCTTCTTTTTTGTGGAAATGGGGCGGGAGGGGCCTCACTATGTTGCCCAGGCTGGTCTTGAACTCCTGGCCTCCAGCAATATTCCTGCCTTGGCTTCCCAAAGGATTACGGGTGTAAATCACCGTGCCTGGTCTGCTGATATGTTTTAACTTTTTACTTTTTGAGATGGGGTCTCAGCTCTGTCGCCCAGGCTGAAATGCAATGGTGCCATCATGGCTCACTCCCTGCAGCTTCAATCTCCCAGGCTTAAGCGATGCTCCAGAGTAGCTGCGTCCTCAGGTGCACACCACCATGCCTGGCTAATTTTATTGTAGTTTATTTATTTTGTTATTTATTTATTTTTATTTATTTTTAGAGATGGGAGTCTTGCCGTATTCCACGTTGCTCAGACTGGTCTCGAACTCCTTGGCTCAAGCGATTCTCCTGCCTCAGCCTCCCAAAGTGTAGGGATTACAGGCGTGAGCCACCTCACTCGACCTGCTGCTATTACTTTTAATTACAAACCCTTCGATGGCATTGGCCATGCGCCAGCCCTCATTGCTTATTCTGCTGTCTTAACTCATGTGATCTCTTTGAGGAAGATGCATTATCCTCATTTTATAGCTGAGGTCCAGAGAGGTTAAGTGACTCGCCCAAGGCCACACAGTCGGTCTGCAGTCTTAGCTGCATGTCCTGTCTCTGTGCAGTGATGATGTGCTGATCAGTATCTTTGTCATCATGATGGCCCTGGAGAGCTCCAGCAAGTAAGAGCCAGAGAGCCAAGGCAGGGCCAGCGTTGCAAAGCGGAAGCAAGGGAAGAGAATTGGTACCCTGCCCCTCACCTGAGTCTCCCTGAGTTGGGAACGTCTTCTGGGTCCACCTGAAGCTGCCAGACAACCTGCAACAAGGGTCACTCAGGTGCAAGGGGGCGGGATCGGGGCCCCCAACCCGTCCCCGCTTCAGTGTCTCCCGCATGGGTTGTGACCTGTTGTCAGGCTGCCCGTGTGGCCTCCCATCGTGCCTGGGACCCTCCCACACAGCCTCGAAGCCACTCTCTGGCAACAACTCCCCACAAGCTGGGGTGTGGGAGAACTGTGGGGAGGGAAGGGGGGAACGACCGCATCGGGGTACGGGGGTGAGGCAGAAGGGTGTGGCGAGTGGAGTGAGGGAGCAGATGTCCCACGGCCGGGGCCTGGGGGTGGCGGGCAGGGACCCAGCACCATCAATGACTGGGTTTCACAACATCAGCATTCCCGACATGCCGCGTGAATTCCTGCCGCCCTCTCCCACCCCACAGACGGCCCCTGGTGTCTGCACCCTCACCAGAAGCTGGTCCCCGGTACAAAAGAGTCCTGTTCCCTCGGGGAGAGGATGCTTTAGCCTGCGGGGGGCTTTCAGGGTGGGTGGGGAGTGAGAAAGGGGTCAGGCACTCCTGACTGGGCTTTGCGCGGGGCCAGGAAGGCCCAGGGCGGGGGCTAGCGAGCGCCTGGCACCCTGCTGCTCCATGGGTTGCCTTGGGGTTGGAGCCAGGGTTTCCAAGTGATTGCTTTTCCCAGCCTTCACCACCCTCTTCCCACGGACAGAGATGCATGCACACACATATCCAATCGCCGGGATGAAATATGACAGATGTAGCCCCAGTCAGAAGGGGCAGGCACACACAGCAGAGACTCACGCGGACACCCAGACAGGACCCTGAACACACAAACAGGCACGGGGACCCCTGTGCCCACAGAGATGGGCTGGCACTCACATAGTTCCCGAGGCATGCGTGCAATGTCCCTGCTGCTGTCCACACACACCTGGACAGACATAGACCTGGCATTCGGCACGTGCACACACACACACACACACACACACACACACACAGCCCTGCATGCACGGCAGGCTGACAAAGATGCAAGGAACTGCACACACACACTGAGGATGGCTACACACGGGTCCAGCCAGACACGCGCCAGTGGACACCTGGCCGACGCTGCCCTTGCACCTGTGACGGGAAGGTACAGGTGAGAGATGCAGATAAGGATGAGCACGTGCCCAGGCAGACATGAAGCCATCAGGTAAATCATGTACTCTTAACAGCGGGGAAAACCAGTTCTTGGGATAGGGGCCAAATCAACCTCAGCTGTTACAATGTGTGTGGTCACAGTCCATAAACATATGTACAGCAGATCTGTTGGGTTAAAATGTCAAGGGAAGGATGGGATGAGGACAAATGCATCTAGAAAGTTTCCTTAGTTGGGGCCGGGCGCAGTGGCTCACGCCTGTAATCCCAGCACTTTGGAAGGCCAAGTTGGGAGAATCTCTTGTGCCTGGAAGTTTAAAACCAGCCTGGGCAATATAGTGAGAGTACTGTCTCTTAAAAACATAGTAATAAAAAATAAAAAGTTTCCTTAGTGGGGATTAATGAATAAAAGTTGACTGAGGCTCACAGAAATAGGTACATGGGCAACCGTGTGTGTGTGCGTGCACACACACACACACACACACCTGTTGGGTGCCCAGGTGCTAGAATGCGGTCACTCACAACCCATTGCCCCATTCACCTCCCAGATTGCAGACTGCAGGTGTCTGATCACCTGGACATCCCTCCATTCTTCAGCCAGACCCAGACCTCCTCCACCCCAACTGCCCTGCACTCCGGAACCCCAAGGAAACCTCTCCTGCAAAACCTTCACCCACAAGGGGTGCTGAGGGGGGCCCTTTGTTCTTTCTCTCTGCGGTTTCTTCCCAGAGCCCCATCGCTGCCCCAGTGATGGTCCCAGCCCATCCCCAGAGCAGCTCCAAGCCACACCCTCTTGCAACCCAAATCAGTGGCGGTGCACAGCGACGCTTCCTCACCCAGAGCACCTGACTCTGCTCACATCTGGGTGCCACTGCCCCGGCGCCCTGCTTCCCATTCCCCGGCCTCCCTGCCATCGTACTCACTTGGACGCAGTTGCTTCTGCACCTCTGCTCAGCCGGCCCAGCTCGCAGTCCCCTGCCTCCCAGGGTCTAGGCCCCCACTTGCCAGCCCCTCCCCTCCCCCTGGGTGCCAGGGGCCGCCTGCCTCCAGGGCCCAGCTCCTCCCTACCCCCGGGGGAGGGGGGCACAAAAGGGCCCTTGTCACCACAGGGCTCGGACTGGGCAGCCTGACGCTTGGGTTCTCCTAGCTCCTTCCTGGAGGGGTTGGGGGTGGCTGCCTTGCTCTCTCCCCATCCTCCATCCCTGAACACCCTGATTCTGGGTCCTGGGGATGGGGGGCAGTCTAACCTCTTTGGAAGTCCCAGGCTGAGGGACAGAGGCATTGTCCTCAGGGAATCTTAGTGGCAACATTAGGTGGGCAGCAGAAGGAGACAGGTCCTTTCCACCCTCAACGTCAGTGCCACCTCCTCTTGCCATCTGAAATGACCTTCCGTGTTCACCAACTCCTTTCATGAGAACATGACCTCCACCAGGCCAGAAGCTTTGTCTTGGATATTCTCAATCCATCCCCGCTCATAGATAAGTTCCTGGCAGGCAGTTGAGCTTAATAAACATCATGGGTGGTTGAATGTGTTCCCCAGAGCTCTGGGGTACCTTCAGACTCAGGGCCTGGGCACCTGCTGCTCATTCTTCCTGGAAAGCAGTCCCCGCTCCATAGCACTCCCCGCTCTGTCACTGGCTGCCATTCACCCGTCCTGTAGGCTCAGCAGCCCGGGTGCCGCTTCCCCGGGAAGCTTTCCCATCTTCCCCCATTAGCCAGGTCCCTCCATTGCAATGCTGTCCTTTCCTTCTGTAGCTTGGCAGGCTGGCCCGTGTGCACTCTAGGTCTGCCCGCCTCCGCCTCCCACTAACCCAGGAGCTCTCAGAGGCAGGGGCTCACCAGAAGCCTATCTGCCACTCTATCATGTGCACTCTTCTGTGCCCTGGAGCAGTGCTTGGTTCACAGAGGGCTGTGCTGACCGAGTTGGGCGAGGACCTTCTGAGTGCAGATTCCACCCCTTGGTCACGACTTTTGCCAGGTGGGTGGGGGCTTGGGACAGCTGGAGGTGGCGTGACAAAGTGCAGCAGTGATTTCACCATGAGCTGTTCAGCCGCACTGGGACATCTCCTCTCCTCCTTCAGGCCAGAGCAGTGGGGAGGGGGGGGTCCTCGCTCTCAAGGGAGAACCCAGGGGATGAGGGGCGGGGAAATCCCTCAGACCAGGGAGAGAAGTGTTGTGGGGATATGGGGGAGTTGGAGGGGGAGGGGGAGTCCCACCCCCACCCCAGGCTTCATGATGTCAGACTCTGCCCGTGCCTTTCCCAGTCTGGGACAAAGGCCCATTGAGAGTCGGGTGGGGCTTGAACGCCTGGGTCCTGGAGAAGAGAGGGGCCTGGTGCTTGGGCTTTGGTGGTGGTGGTTGGGGTGACAAGGAGATTCTGGAGGTATTTGCATGTCCCAGCCTTCAGCATCAACACCCACCTCGTTGGAGCTGGAGTTGTGTGCCGGTGTAGTGTGAGGCTCCACCTCCTCCCTGGGTGTGAACTGAAGGCTGTTGCTGGGGAGAGGACAGTGTCCCACAGGAGCACTCGCAATAGTTGCTGACATCTGCAACTTGGGTCTCCAGGAGCCCTGTGGGAGCGAGGCGGCTGGAGCCCTTGAGAGGAAGGGGCTGGGTGAGAGGACCTGTGACTGGCGGGCAGGTACACTGTCTAAGGGGACAACCGACCTGCAGATCCAGTGGCCGGTGCTGCCGCATCAGCTGATCTCTTACGAGAAAGCAGGTATATAAGTTTTCTAGGACTGTTACAACAAAGTTTCACAAACTGGGTGGCTTAAAAACCAGAATTGAGGCCAGGCATGGTGGCTCACACCTGTAATCCCAATGCTTTGGGAGGCCGAGGTGGGTGGATCACGAGGTCAGGAGATCGAGACCATCTTGGCTAACACGGTGAAATCCTGTCTACTGAAAATACAAAAAAATTAGCCAGGCATGGTGGCAAGCTTCTGTAGTCCCAGCTACTCGGGAGGCTGAGGCAGGAGAATGGCGTGAACCCGGGAGGCAGAGCTTGCAGTGAGCGGAGACTCCTCCACTGCACTCCAGGCTGGGCAACAGAGCAAGACTCCAACTCAATAAATAAATAAATAGATAAATTTTTTTAAAAACCGCCAGAATTGAGCTTGAATTCCAAGATCAACAAGATCAAGGTGCTGGCAGCGTTGGTTCCTTCTGAGGGTGTGAGGATCTGTTCTGGGCCTCTCTCTGTATGACATCTTCATCTTCACATGCTCTTCCCCCTGTATTCACCTCTGCCCAGATTTGCCATTTATTTATTTATTTATTTATTTATTTATTTATTTATTTATTTTTGAGACATAGTCTTGCTTTGGTCATTGAGGCTGGAGTGCAGTGGTGCAATCATAGCTCACTGCCACCTCGACCCTCCAGATTCAAGCGATTCTCCTGCTTCAGCCTCTAAACAGTAACTGGGACTACTGGCTTTTTTTTTTTTTTTTTTTTTTTTTTTTTGGTAGAGACATGGTCTCACTATATTGCCCAGGCTGGTCTTGAATTCCTGAGCTCAAGAGGTCCTCCTGTGTTGGCCTCCCAAAGTGCTGGGATTACAGGCGTGAGACCCCGCACCCTGTCAGATTTCCCATTTTTATAAGGAAATCAGTTCTATTGGATCAGGATTCGCCCATCTCCTTTTAACTTGATTACCTCTGTGAAGACCCTGCCTCCAACTAAGGTCACATTCTGAGCTACTAGGGGTTAGGACTTCAATGTGACTTTGGAATTCCTAGCAACAGGAATTCAGAAGGAAGCTCTCGGCCGTGGGGAGCTCTCACTTAAAGCTTAAAGCTCTCGTAGACAGGGGCTGAGGCTTGATCCATCCAAGGGTCCTTGCTGTCCTCAGACAATGCTGGCAGTTTCACAACCAGTCCTCCGCAGGACTGCGGCTTGCTCAGAATGCAAGTTCAAGGGCCCCACCTTGCACCTGTGGAATCAGAAATTCTGGAGGCCCAGTTATCTGCATTTTGTTTATTTATTTTACAGACAGTGTCACTGTGTCACCCGGGCTGGAGTACAGTGGTGCCATCATAGGTCACTGCAGCCTTGAATTCCTGGCCTCAAGTAATCCTCCTGTCTCAATCTCGTAAACTACTAGGATTATAAGTGTGTTCCACCACACCCAGCCTCATCTGCATTTTATTTGTATTTATTTATTTATTTGTTTGTTTTTTGAGACAGAGTCTCATTGTATCACACAAGCTAGAGTACAGTGGCAAGGTCTTGGCTCACCACAGCCTCTGCCTCCCAGGTTCAAGCAGTTCTCATGCCTCAGTCTCCCGAGTAGCTGGGACTACACGTGCGTACCACCACCACCACGTCCAGCTAATTTTTGTATTTTTAGTAGAGATGGGCTTTCACTGTGTTGGCCAGGCTGGTCTCGAACTCCTGGCCTCAAGTGATCCTCCAGCCTCAGCTTCCTAAAGTGCTGGGATTACAGGCTTGAGTCACTGCACCCAGCCCCATCTGCATTTTTACAGGCCCTCCAGGAGATTTTGAGCACGCTGAAGTTTGAGTATCTCTGCTTTATATGTTCTCCCGTCTCTCTAGGACCATCCCAGAAAACTGCTTGCTCAGGGGAGAAGAGCACCCCATGTCATTAAGTGTAACTCCTGATTTCAGGTTTCCCACCTACCAGGAGGGAGGCCTCCACCATCCCCTGTCAATATGAATCCTTTACATTGAGGAAGCATTGGACAGTTTCCAAAGCAATTTCACAGTCATCCCCTTTGTTGAGCAACTCTAGAGCCAGATAAGCTAAGTCCTGTACAGATGCTTCTGGTTTTTTTTGTTTGTTTTTTGTGTTTTTTTTGGTTTTTTCTTTGTTTTTTTTTTTGAGATGGAGTCTCGTTCTGTCACCCAGGCTGGAGTGCAGTGGCATGATCTTGGCTCAGTGCAACCTCTGCCTCCCGGGTTCAAGTGATTCTCCTGCCTCAGCCTCCTGAGTAACTGAGATTATTTTTAGGTGTGCGCCAACATGCCCGGCTAATTTTTGTATTTTCAGTAGAGATGGGGTTTCACCATGTTGGCCAGGCTGGTCTCAAACTCCTGACCTCAGGTGATCCACCTGCCTCAGCCTCCCAAAGTGCTGGGATTACAGGCGTGAGCCACTGCGCCCAGGGCTTCTGTTCTTTTAAAGGTAAGGAGAGGCCAGGCATGGCAGATCACACCTGTAGTCCCAGCATTTTGGGAGGCTGAAGTGGGAGGATCATTTGAGGCCATGAGTTTGAGACCCACCTGGGCAACACAGCCAGATCCACATCTCTACACAAAATACAAAACTTTAGCGGGGTGTGGTGATAGGCACCTGTGGTCCCAGCTACTCAGGAGGCAGAGGTGGGAGGATTGCTTGAGCCCAGGAGGTCAAGGCTGCAGTAAGCCATAATCACACCACTACACTTCAACCTGTGCTATGGAGCAAGACCAAACTAAAAAAATAAAATAAAAAATACAGATGAGGAGGTGGAGCTCCGGATACGAAGAAGATGCATGCAAGATGTTATAGCTAATAAGCCAAGCTCACCACGACTCCCCTCTCCCTACCCCTCAGTCTTCATTCAGGAAACCTCCCCTCCCAGAGGACAAGCCTCTGTGGATTCCAAAGCAAGGCAGACGTTGGTGGTGCACTGGGACTGATCTGGCTCCCAGCTGGGCTTAGTTTGGCTCACAGAATGTTAATGTAAAAAGACAAATTCCTTTGCTCAGTTGCCAATACTGTAAAAGCAAGAAATCGCAAATAAAAATAGGAATTCCCACCTTCTCTTGACAAAATCAGAAGCTCTAGCCAGGTTTACCTGCCTTGGGCGTGGCGGCCGTGTCTTGGAGTCCTCTCCCGCCAAGCCTGGGCCTTCCCACTCTCTGCCCACACCCAACATTGAGGCTGATGACCAATGCCCTTTACCATCAAGTGAGAGCTGTTGCTTCCTAGGAGCTAAGAAGACAGTGAAATACAGCTCCTATCTCTGTTTCTATCAAATGTGGGCCGACTGGGCACGGTGGCTCACGCCTATAATCACAACACTTTGAGTGGCCGAGGCGGGTGGATCACTTGAGGTTAAACGTTTAAGACCAGGTTGGCCAACATGGTGAAACCCTGTCTCTACTCAAAATATGAAAATTAGCCAGGCAAGGTGACGGGTGCCTGTAGTCCCAGCTATTCAGGAGGCCGAGGCAGGAGAACCGCTTGAAACTGGGAGGTGGCGGTTGCAGTGAGCCGAGATCGCACCACTGCACTCCAGCCTGGGCGACAGAGTGAGACCCTGTCTTGAAAATAAATAAATAAATAAATAAATAAATAAATAAACAAATAAATAGTAGAAATATTTTCCCAGTTTCAGTTTCTAATACATCGGGCAACTAGAGATATAGCCCACTTCAACAAGAGCTTTTTGGAGTCCTCAATAATTTCTCAGAACGTAAAGGGGTCCTAAGACCAAAAGGTGTGAGGGCCACGGCCTTCAGAGGCCGTCCAGGTGTAGTGAATGAGCGAGGTACAGGGGATTGTTACATAAGAGCATCCTTTTTTTTCTTTCTTTTTTTTTTTTTGAGACGGAGTCTCGCTCTGTCACCCAGGCTGGAGCAGTGGCCAGATCTCAGCTCACTGCAAGCTCTGCCTCCGGGTTTAGCATTCTCTGCCTCAGCCTCCCAATGTGGGACTACAAGAGTACCCGCCTACGCCTAGCTGAATTTCCCACAACAGCCCCCAATAAAACAAAATTTCACTGTGTTATAGAGATAGTCTCCATCTCCCCAACCTCGGGTCGTGATCTTGGTATACTGGGGGTGGGATTGCAGGCAGGCCACACCCACCGCCCCTGGCCTGGCATCTTAAGTTGTATTCTCTCAGGAAGGGTGCACTTTGCCGTGAAACATATAGGAATATGGTTCACCTCCACAAGACACTAGTTCCTGCCCATTCTTTTTTTCTTTCTTTCTTTTTTTTTTTTTTGAGACAGGGTCTCACTCCGTTTTTTGAGACAGGGTCTCACTCCGTCACCCAGGCTGGAGTGCAGCAGTGCTATCTTGGCTCACTGTAACCTCCATCTCCAGGGTTCAAGTGATTCTCCTGCCTCAGCCTCCTGACTAGCTGGGATTACAGGCACATGCCACCATGCCTGGCTAATTTTTGTAGAGACGGTGTTTCACCATGTTGGCCAGGCTGGTCTTGAACTCCTGACCTCTAAGTGATCCACCTGCCTCAGCTATGAATCACCGTCCATTCTTAAAAGCTGTGTTGCTCTCATTTTGGTTGCCCCACTTTTTTCTTTTTTGACACTGGGTCTTCTTCTGGAACTCCCAGTCTTTAACAATCCTCCCATCTCAGCCTCCTGAGTAGCTGGGACCATGTAACCACATTGGGCTAGAAACTGGGACATTTAAAAGCATGAGATACACCAGCACACAATCCATTAGCCATCTGGTGATGATGCCATCAGGTGTCACGGAGCCTCCTGGAAACTCCATTGTATACTCATGAGAGAACCAAGGTGAAAAAGGCAAATAAACATCTTTGTAGGCCGGCTCACGCTTGTAGTCTCAGCACTTTGGGAGACTGAGATGGGTGGATCGCTTGAGGTCAGGAGTTCAAGACCAGCCTGGACAACATGGCAAAATCCCATCTCTACTAAAAATACAAAAATTAGCTGGGTTTGGTGGCGCGTGCCTGTAGTCCCAGCTATTCAGGAGGCTGAGGCAGGGGAATCGCTTGAACCCAGGAGGTGGAGGTTGCAGTGAGCCAAGATCGTGCCACTGCACTCCAGCCTGGGTGACAGAGACTCTGCCTCCAAAAAAAAAAAAAAAAAGAAAAAAAAATGTCTTAGTAGTTTCCACCTTCAGGAGCCCTACAAAAGGAGTCTCCGGATCTTACTTTGAGAACCTTTATAGCAGTGTCCAATGTTTTGGCTTCCCTGAGCCACACTGGAAGAAGAATTGTCTTGGGCCACATGTAAAACACACTAACACTAATGATAGCTGATGAGAAAAACAAAAAAAAGTCACAAAAAATTATCATAATGCCTTAAGAAAGTTTACGAATTTGTGTTGGGTGCATTCAAAGCCATCCTGGGCTGCATGTGGCCCATGGGTGGGACAAGCTTGCCTTATAGGCACTGATTTCTACGGCTGTTTTAGGAAGATCTCAAGGAAAGGAAACATTAAGTTTCATCCCCGTTATTGCAACATGAAGGGGGAGAACAGAAACGAATTTTCTTCACCAACTTTCCTGGCAACCTCCAGGACACACCAGCCCCACATGACCCACCAAGCACTGACGCTTGCAAGGCAGGGTCAGGACAAGCTCTTAGCACAGGCCCTTGGCGGAGAGAAAGGACAACAGACACTCTGGTTTGGAAAACAAAAGAATCAGCCGTTTTATTCCAAGACCTGTATTCTGGGGCAGCAGGAATAAATAAGGAAGGGAGGAGATGGGGGCAGGGCAGGAAGATTCTACGTCCTGCAGCACATCCCACACTTTGATCGATGACAGCAGCCACAGCAGAAAATGCAGATGGGGAAGTGGGTGTCTCGCCTCCTTCGCCTCTGGAGCATGGGCTGTGAGAAGGAAGGGAGTGTGAGCAGGGAATCGACCTGGGCATGCAGAGGGAGCAGGGGGCTGGGAAGGGCGTCACTGGTGTGCTCACCGTCCAGCTGGCCCTGGCTCCAGCTCTGTCCTGAGGTTGCAGCTCTGCAAGTTGTCCCGTCTGTGAAAGCAGAAGGGGGCGTTGAGGATGGCAGGGGGCCCAGCGGACCTCTGAGACTGGCTCCCAGCAACCTGCTCCTCTCCGAGTGGCTTAAACCCAGAGCTCAGCTGGACTCCTAGGAGGGGCCTTGCTTTCTTGCTTCTGCTCACCTTCCCATGGGCGGCTCTTCCTAAAAAAAAAACCTCCCAGATTCGCCGCCTCCTCTTTCCACAGCTCCTACTCTTCTTTGGGACATCATCTTCCCTTGCCTGGATGACAGTGCCAGCCTCCTAACACATCTCCCTGCATTCTTGCCCCTCAATCCATTTGCCACACAGCAGAGTCACTTTTTTTGTTTGTTTTTTAGACAGTCTCCCTCTGTCGCTCAGGCTGAAGTGCAGTGGCACAGTCATAGCTCCCTGAAGCCTTGACCTCCTATGCTCAAGCGATGCTCCCGCCTCAGCTTCCCGAGTAGCTGGGACAGCAGGTGCACGCCACCACACCCGGCTAATTTCTTAATTTTGTGTAGAGATGGGGTCTGGTTGTGTTGCGTAAGCTGGTCTCAAACTCCTGGGCTCAAGTGATCTTCCTACCTTGGCCTCCCGAAACTCTGGGATTACAGGCATGAGCCCGACTGGCAGACTAATTTTTTTAAAAATGTGGCCAGTGAGATTGTGGTTTTCTCCATTTAAAAACCTATAGGAGCCTGGGCACAGTGGCTCACGCCTGTGATCCTAGCACTTTGGGAAGCCGAGATGGGAGGATCACCTGAGTTCAAGAGTTCAAGACTAGTCTGGCCAACATGGTGAAACCCTGTCTCTACTAAAAGTACAAAAATTAGCTAGGCGTGGTGGCGGGTGCCTGTAATCCCAGCTACTTGGGAGGCTGAGGCAGGAGAATTGCTTGAACCCGGTAGGCGGAGGTTGCAGTGAGCCCAGATGATGCCATTGCACGCCTGCCTGAAAGACATAGCAAGACCCCGTTTCAGACAAAAACAAAACAAAACAAAACAAAACAAATCCTATGGGGGCTTCCTCTTTACTCCAAGGAAAAATCAGCGTCTGTACAGTTGCCCACAAGACTTTGGGACTCTGCCCACCCCTTGGCCTTATCCCCAAGTCCCACTGTCTCCTCTTGCTCAGCCTGACCATGGGCTATGCCGGTTCGTCCTCTCCTCGGGTCTCTGCTGCCTCCATCTCTCACCCTCCAAGACGAAGGCCAACTGTCACTTTCTCCTGAAACACTTGCTTGACTGCCAGCCCCTTGACCGTGCCGTGGGCCCGCCACCCGTGGCATGTGCCTGCTGTCCCAGCTATTTGGGAAGCTGAGGTGGGAGGATTGCTTGAGCACAGGAGGTCGAGGCTGCAGGGAGCTATGACTGCATCACTGCATTCCAGCCTCAGCAACAGAGGACGACCCTGTCTCTAAAAAACAAACCAAAAAAGTGATTTACTGTGTGGCGAATGGATCACGGTCACTCTACCACCGTCTGTTATGTGATTCACGAATAGCATATACTAGACACAATTATTTGTTAATGTTTTCATCAGTCTTTAATGAATTCCCTGACCAGGATAAGAGGTCTCCTCTCTCATCTACCTTGTTCATGGCCTTGTCCTCACTGTCTAGAATAAGACTCCACACAGCGTAAGGGCTTCGTAAGTACCCACAAAATTAGGACCTTCCAATCCCTGTCACTTGGTGCTTCATCGATTTCTGTTCTTTTTTGGAGATGGAGTCTTGCTCTGTTGCCAGGCTGGAGTGCAGTGGTGCAATCTCAGCTCACTTTGCAACCTCCACCTCGCAAGTTCAAGTGATTCTCCTGTCTCAGTCTCCCGAGTAGCTGGGATTACAAGCACCTGCCACCACGCCTGGCTAACTTTTGTATTTTTAGTAGAGATGGGGTTTTACCATGCTGGCCAGGCTGGTCTCAAACTGACCTCAAGTGGTCTGGGCATGAGCCACCATGCCTGGCCTGGTTCCTGTTCAGCTGCCAGTCCCCCTGAGCTGTCCTGAGCTCTGCTCAGTGCTTGGGTGTCTCTAGTGCCCTAGGCTGGGGCCTGGCTCTCCCATCCCTGCTGCCCTTCTAAGGAGCCAGGCCACTGGGCTCTCACCTGTTGTGGGAAAACGGAGCCACTGGTCAGGCTGGCGAGGAGGAGAAGGAGGAGGAGGCAAGTGGCCCAGATCTGGGAGCTCAGTGCCATCGTGCCGTCTGTCTGGCTGTCCCACTGCTAGGTCTTGAGCTTGCTCTGGTGTCTGGGACCCAGTGACAGTCGCTTTTATGGGGCCTGCCAGGGGAGGCAGTGGTCTGGGCCCCCTCCCCTTTGCTCTGACTCATTTCCAAGAAGGTGGTGGCGCCGAAAAGGCGGGAGAGATAAGCGGGAACAGAGCGACAGGGAACAGGGTTGTGTCACCCTCAGCCGGCAGAGGTGTGTTCAGGGGGTGGGGCAGACGGGGTCACAGACACACACTGCTCGCCAGCCATCTGGGGAGCCCTTTCCCCATCATGATGTCATTCTGCTGATTGAGAAAAAGTTACCCCTTTTGCTTCAGCGGTTAAGCAGTCTGATGATCTGAATCAAGGTTCCGCTCTCCTTCACCCACTTCCCTACCGCCTGCATGCACACAGGGCATGGCCAGCAGCTGCCAGGCTCCTCAGGAGTGTCCGGCATATTGGGGGAAGCATCCATTGCTTTAAGCTCTCACCACACATGCATAGGTTCTGGCAGGGAACAGTGGATAGCCCTGAGCATGGCGAGCATCAGCGTGTGCCCCTGATCCACACGCGGTGTTTTCACAGCGTCAGACCCTTGAGACGTGTCTCTGGTAACTGGAAAATGTTTGAGCAAACTTTTGGCCATAAATGACAGCAGTAATATGGCCCAGTGCGGTGGCTCATGCCTGTAATCCCAGCACTATGGGAGGCTGAGGCAGGAGGATCGCTTGAGCCCAGAAGTTCAAGACTAGCCTGGGAAACGTAGGGAGACACCATCTCTACAAAAAAAAAATTTTTTTTAACAAATTTAGCCAGGTGTGGTGGCACACATCTGTAGTCCCAGCTGCTTGGGAGGCTGAGGCAGGAGGATCGCTTAAGCCTAGGAGGTTGAGGCTGCAGTGAGCTATGATCGTGTGACTGCATTCCAGCCTGGGTGACAGAGCGAGACCCTGTCTATAAAACATAAAATAGCAGTAATAGGAATAGCTGACATCTGCTGTCTGATGAGTACGTTTTATACGATGGCACACGTGTTGACTCACTTCTGCACCAACTTAGCCTGTGCCGCCTGTTCTCCCAGCAGCACTTGCTGCCCCACCTTCAGCTCTGCTTTGTGTTCAGGGGCTGCCTTCTCAGTCACCCAACCCCAGGGGCTTGGGCTCCCCAGACCCCACTCCCTTTCAGGAGCCTCCTCCACATCGGACACTCATTTCCTTCACTTTACAGAAAAGGCACTGAAGGCAGAGATCAGGGCATGGCCCAAGCTTGCCCAGGCAGAGGTAGAGCTGGGATTCTGACCTGGACGGCCTGAACCCAGGGCCTCTGCTCTTACCCACCAGGCTTCCCCATCTCCCCTAAAACACAGCAGGGTACAGTGGCATGCTAGAACTGGCTCAACAGAGCAGACCATGCACATCTTGAAACTCTCATTCACTGGCATCATGCCGGTACCCTGAAATCAGCAGTGGTGGGAGTGTTGGCACCAGGAAATGGGCAAACCCTACAAGCCAGGGACATTTTTGGGGAGCCAGTTCCTTAGGACACCACTAGCTGGGGGATGAACCCAGACGGCCTGACTGCAGTGCCTTCATTCCTTTCCACTACCAGGCCCAGCTCAGGGTGCACACGGCCCAGGGGATCCACAAACCTTGGTTCCAGATGGGCCCTTGGACATTTTGCCACTTTGCCTTTCATTCCAGGGCCATCCAGTGTCAGCCCAGTCACCAGAGCCTGGGGATGTTGCTGTCGAGGAGTGAACACTTCTTCCTGACTGCTGAACCGCTGCCAAGGCCCACTCAGGCACAGAAATGGACAGGCCCTGCCATCTGCCTCCTCATCCACACCACGTGGGAGGCTCCTCTTGTCACAGCTTGGGGAACAAAGCGAGACCTCATCAGTACAAAAACCTGGCTGTGGTGCTATGCACCTGTAGTTGGTCAAGGCTCCAGTGAGCCGTGATCATGCGCCACTGTGCTGTAGCCTGGGTGACAGAGTGAGACCCTGTCTCTAAAAACTAAACGAATAAAGATGGCCTCAGATGGGAATAGCTAGGAAAAGGAGACAGGACTCTTGAGGGAAGAGACGATTGCGGGGTGGGGAGGACATTTGGGAGGAAAAGCAGAGCATGGAGCTTCATAAGGTGAGCAGAGTGGCAGGCCCAGCTCCTGGGAGTGGATGGAGTTGAAGGGGGCTGCAGAATGAGGCAGGGTCCAGTGAATAGGGGCGTGCTCACCCGGGGACTCGGCAGCAGCCCCCAGCCCTACCAGGCATCACTGCATCTCAGCTCAGGACAGGTTTCATCATCAGCAGGGGCAGGGGTCACAGCACAGGCGCCAGAGCCTCGGTGCAAGGCGACAGGCTGACGGGCCAAGCTTGGCGCCCTGGCCATCTGCCCTTCCTGGGGGTGAGGGGCTCAAGGCCAGGCCCCACTATTGGCTGGTGCAGAGGGGAGGGCTTCAGCCCAGCAGAGCAGGGCCAGGGGCTGGTTGTGTTTTCAGAACTGCTGACACGGAGACCCCCGCCTCTCCTCCAACATGGGACATGTCCTTGACCCTGGCTCCCCACACCCTCATGCATGCCTAGGGCCTCAAAGGGGACATTCATTCCTTAATTCCTTCATCCATCCAACTAACCACTGGGTACCAGGTGGTGCAGCTGGCAGGGACTGCACACAGCCATGTGCACAACGGTGGAACCATGCTGCGTGGAGCTCTGTAGACCCCAGGCCCCTCCCCATTCCCGAGATGGACAGACACACAAGCAGACAAGGCGGGGGCCACATGGGGCCAGTTTATTGCAGTTAAATACCTCTCTCTCTCTATTTTTTTTTGTCAATTTTTCCATAAAGAAAATTAAAACACACACACACACACCCAAAGGGGAGCAAGGACCCAGAAACAAGAGGTGGGGTGGGACCTGGCCTCCCTGCATAGGTCCAGGCCCCGGGTGGCCCCCCAAAGGCTCCCCTCCTTCCCATCAGCACCCTGTCTCAGTACCTCCAGAGAGCAGGAGGCAGCGGGACGCGGAAGGGCCTCTGTCCCCCTCCCTCTTCCCTCCAGGTGAGACCACTAGAAGTGCCGGGGCTTAGTGAGGGCCGGGAGAAGGGCGACAGACAGACGGATGGGGAGGGAGGATACCGTTTCCAAGTGGAGGAGGGCGGTGGGCACTGTATCCACAGAAATCCATTATTTCTCCCCGTTTTTTGTTAAAAATCTACTATAAAAAAACGCAGCTGGGGGAGGGGCGTGTGTCCCTCTCTGTGCTAAGGGCTGGGGAAGGGGGCAGCAGAGGCCGGCGTGGGCGGCGGCAGCTGCGCGGTGGCGGCGGGCGTCACTGCCGGGTGCTCTCGCCCACCATCTCCAGGTTGTGCTGCTGCAGCTGGGCTCGAAGCAGGGCGTTCTCATTCTTCAGCTCCTCGATCTGGCGGACACGACGGAGGACAAGGGAGCTGAGGGCCAGCGCCTTGCATCTGGGGCTCCTGGGCCCTGACCCGCTCCAGGCCCCGCACCCACCTGCTGCCTCAGGAGCTCGTTGTCCATCTGCAGCCGCTCGGCCTCTTTGAAAGTCTCTTGCATGCGCTGGTTGGTCTGGCGCAACTCCCGGATGTAATCGCAGGCCTTGGACAGGATCCCTCCTTTACTCTGGGGGGCGAGGGGACCAGGAGCCTTAGGGCGGGCACCACCCACTGGCCTCCACCCCGGGGAAGACTCCCGAGCCCCATGGCAGTTGGACTTTCTGCATGCAAGGGTTGGGGGCCAGGCCCACCGCAGCCACTCAGGGTCCGGGATGCTCACCGCTCCCGTCTTGCTGTTGTCTGCATTACAGTCTGGAATGATTTTCGAAAGCTGGACGATCCAGTTGTTGATCTTGTCCCTTCGCCTCCGCTCCACTGCGGGAAACAGAGCCACAGCCACGGCTTCGCTGACAGGGCTCGTGCCCGAGCAGCCGTCCTCACAGGACAGAGGCTCAGCCCAAGGACACCCAGGCACAGCACAGGCCCCACTGAGACCACGGCCCTGGGAAGTGAGGGGCTGCACCCTGAGCCCAGCCGGCCCCCACCCCAGCTTCTCAAGAGGAACAAAGAAACCTGGGCCCTCCAGTGCCACATACGCTTTTAGGATGGGCGTCAAAGGTCAAGCACTTTGAGTTCGTTTTACGGGCCTGCCCGACCATACTTGCACAAATTTGAATCGACAGTTAAGAATAAGGAAATTTCTCATGGTAATTGGCGTCACTGGCTTCTTTTGAGAAATGGAGCTCTGGTCACAGTGGGCACGTACTGGGAGGCAGGGATGGGCAGAGCCGCTCTTCACAGGACTAGTGCCCCTCTCTGGCTCCCACGGCCCCTGCACTGAATTCTCCAGTGTCCCCAGAGACTCTGGGCACCATGATGTTGTTTTTTAACTCATCTCTAATTCCAAGTCTGACCATGTTTCACCCCTGCTTAAAATCCTTCCACAGGGTAATGGCAGATCCCAACTGGTATCTGCAGCTCCCAGGCCTGGCCCACAAGGCCAGGAAAGACACAAACCCTATGCTGAAGGCCAGAGATGGCAACTTATAGAAGATTTTACTTAAAAAAACCCAGATTTGTGATTTTACTCCATAAAACTCCACAATCTCACGCCAACGGTGTCGGCCGGGTAGCAGCTGTCCCCAGACAGAGCACAAGCCTGTCTCTGGCCACATGCCAGCCTGATACCTGCCTGGGGTCTGTGTGCCACGGAGCCTGAGACCCCTGACCCAGGGCCTGCTAAAGCCAGGCTGTCCCAACCCTTCACCGCCTGCCAAGCCCCAGCACCAGGCACCGTGGGGACAGGAAAGAACGCTCAGCTACCCCCAATTCCCACCCCACGGAACCCCAGCCCCCTGCCAGGGTGGCCCATGCTGTCTGTGGCATTTGCGGAGGGGAACGAAGCCTATAGCCAGGGCGGATGCGGCAGGAAGGCCGGGGGTCTTTTCAAAGCCTTGGATAATGGTGATGGGATACCAGGCTGGGGTCCAGTGAGCCTGAGAAGGAGGGGTGGGCCACAGCCTGCCCATTACCCTCACACCCGGAGATCAGTTGCTCCCCGGCCCCGCCGTTCCCTCGAGAAGACTGAACCCACCCATCGGCAAACCCCTCTGGGCTGTGGCCGTGTGCCGCTGACTGGCCTCTCCCTGCCTCCTGTGCCTCCCACTCAAGCCCGAGTGACAAACCCCCCTGAATGACATGGACTCTCCTCCTCCCACCGTGACCACTCTTCCCTGGCCTCTCTTCCACCCTTGAGCTCCCTCTTTCCTCCAAAACCAATACCCGAAGATCAGAGCTCGCTATGGAGCACGGTCCAGGCCCTGCACTGGGCTCAGCGAGTACTTGCTCCCCTATTACTATCACGGTGCGCCGAACCCTCCCACCAAAGCCAGCCACACCTGCCTTTGGGAACTCTGGCCAAAAGCAGCAGCGGAGTTGACAGTCCAAGCCCGGAGACACCGCTGGCGCAGTCCCCAGCAGAGCACTCCTCGCCCAGGGGTCCGTGGAGGAACTCGGCAGACGGCCTTGTTTCGGCCTCTGCCTTCCCTCAGCCCTCTCAAGGGCTGGGCACTGGCTGCAGCTACATCCTCTCCAGTGCGCGTTTACTTCTTACACACCTACTCTCTGCCCTACTGTATGCCAGGCCCTCCGCCAGGCCGGGGTCCAGGGTGAAAGCGGCCCCACTGTGCCCCGTTGGCA